TGGAAACCTACACACAAAGCCTCAAATGAAACAGACCACATAGCCTCAAGGGTAATATTATTTTCAGGGTTACCCTATTGGCAAATTCACATACTGAAATCAAATCTGTTCATCAATCAATCAGTTAGGTACCACCGACAACCAACATCAACATATTGGCATTCATCTGACAGATGATCAGATTAGGCTTCATACACTCTGATGAACTCATGACCAAAATGTACCAACAGTTAGCTGAAAAAAACCTTCAGTGTTTCCTGCAAAATGACTAATGGATGACAACTGAATAGTAATTTATGGTTAGCGCCAGTGATGTGTCATTCACAGACAAGCTAAAACTTATATGGTTTAAACTGAGGGGATTCCTACCATCTAAAAGTAAAACTTATCTAATCAAAACATTCAATTGTTGGTAAGGTTTCCACTCTGTTTACTTTTGCTTTCAGGATGAGGATTAGTGCTGAAGACAAAGGGCAGTGTTTCCTGTGGACATTTCTGAAGATGTCGGGGGTGATTTTGGTTCTAAGAACCAGGCTGAATATTGGGTTCATTCCACATCAGTTCCATTATGCATTACACTAGAATGAAATATGATATTATCTTAAAATACTGTAGGATTATGATAATTGAATAGTTGTGGTGCAGTGCATCTATCTTCAGAATGGGCTGAATAATAAGCTCAAGATGAATTTTTACTATATTTAAAGCATTCTCACCACAGGGGCAACTCTCAAGCAGTGGGGGTCACCACTCTTCAAAGAATGTAAAGGAAATAAAGGAAATGCTGCAAAGCGACCTTTCCTTAAGAAAGAGCAAACAACATCCACCTCCTCCCTTAAAAGCAGACTTCACAAATACCTTAACAACTGGCTTTACACATGCACTACAAAAAAAAGAAAAACAATGCACTGTGAAATCTGTGAAATGTGTAATGCTTAAATGTGAAAATCTGAAGCGAAAGACTCATCCACAAGATTCTCCACAACTGACCAGCGTAAACAATATATTTAGTTGCATATTACACTACATGTATTCTGGGAAAGTAGTCTCAGACTTTTGGACCCTACTGTTTTTTTTTTTTTTTTTGTTGCAGTGCATTACCATTTTTAAATGTAGACACATATCACACATTTCTCTTAACCAACTAAAGTTAGCCTGGTTTTACTTTATATTACAAACCAAGAACTCCCCGCTTGTCTGGATTTAAAACCTTGCATGCTTAGTTTATGAGGCACTCAACCAGTTATTTTATCGAGGTTTCACCCTGCATTGCTTTCGTCACTGGTAACCGAGTGATCCTCGTCAGTGCGACCATTTGTCGGTCCGTGTGTATTTAATATCAAAGAAACAATCATAAAAGTCTATGTTAAACTCTATTTCAATAATATAATCGGAGAACGTTTTGGAAGCTGGGTTCATGTTGTTCTAAGTCAGCTTAGCTCATGTACCTCCAGAACACAGTTCATACAGCAATCAACTCACAATTCACCCGACAGTCGACACATAAAACGACACACTTGAAATTCTGAATCAACGGTATGTGGTCCAAACCAAGTTTTGATGATTGTAGCAACGCGATTTATCACTAAGTTAGCTTAACGCAATATGAATGGAATCAATATCCGTTGACACCAACCATTGCAGTCTGAGGTTTTCGTTGAGGACTTGAGCCTTTAGCTAAGCATATATCCGGTGAAAACAGGAGGTGTTGGAGTTTGGTATGTTAACTTTATAGATTACCTAGTCTTGTCTGTTCACGGTGTTTAAAAACCTACATTAACTACACTGGAAACTGTTTTTTGGACGAACCTTGCGGGTAGCTTTTACGTTAACAGTACAACAAAAGCTAGCAGCCTGCCCGGACGCTAGCTTGTGTAAGAAACGTTTCTCTCTCCTCTTCGTTTTTATCACGCGGCAATATCACTGTGAATCCAATATGCCAAGCGAATATGAATTCAATGAGTGTCAGCGCGCTGTTGGATTAATGTTTACTCACCGAATTATGTGCGGACGGACAGTGTTTGACTCGGGGTGGTGTCTGAAGAAGGGATCTCGGAGCAGTGCCTTCCTTGGAACCGAGCTAGCTACAAGTTGCTAGCAGAGGGCGTGGCTTAGGTAAAAGTAAACAATGGTGACGTCATGTCGACACGCGGGACTGTTTCAGATCATCTTGAATTTTGGTTCTTGACCTTTTTGATAACAATGGTGGCATTTTATCATACGAACAGTTTAATGTTATGTTTTTCCTTTGCCATTCAGAGAATTTGACTTGATTAAATGTCATTTGATAAATAGAGACATGGAAACTATTTCCCCTCCTTTGATATTGAATGAAATTGAATTCACAAATAAAAACAACAAAGTTAGACCTAAAGCTGAATTATTTTGGAGGTTATCCATTGATAATGCACTCCGCTGGCAGTTGACAGTTGACATTGTAACTTTCATGAAGGAAGGATTAATTGCAGGACCGTTTTAGATAGCAATAGTTTAGGCGTGTCTAATAAACTGCCAACAGGATGTACTTGCTTGGAGAAGACTTGGCTTTTACGTCACAAATACTGCATCTCCAATAGTAAAGTAAATAAGACCTGTAAACAATTTCTATCCCTCTCACTCATTTTTATAGGTAACTTTACAGATACTGACAACTCTTGCATGTTCTGTGGAAAATGTGAGGAAACCCCTATTCACTTGTTTTTTACCTGGGGAAAAAACCTTTTGGGATCCCACTTTGGGATGTTTTTCTTTATTTGTTTGCCAAAGTCAACTCCACGTACTTCTTTAACCTAAAAGATATTTTCTGATATTTTGAAACACCGCATCAAACACTTGGATTTGTAGCTAATGTCTATGTTCTAGTGGCAATATTCTTTCTACACAAGCAAAGAGCACTAAAAGATGTACCAAATATTCTTAATTTCCTAGCTCAAATAAATTCTTGACACAATTATGTTGAATTGCTTAAAAATAGGAAATCCATAAAATTACTGGACTCATATAGCTTTGTTTTTCCATGAATGACTAATTTACTAGTATGCTTTATTTGAATTTTGCCTTACATGTATATATCTCTGTCTTTTCTCTCACCATTTGACTGATTTTCACTGCTTATACTGTTTGTTTCCCAAAAAAGTAACATTATCCTTTTGGTAGTAGAGGTAAATTAACAACTTTTATGCTAAGGAACTCCACAATGAGTTATATGTAAAACTGAATTATTTCCATTTTTAATTGAGGGAAATGGCAATATAAGAAGCAAAGAAATCACAAAAGTCTAATTCAGACAAAAATTAAGTTAACTACTGTCTATGAGGTAAAACAACATTATCTTTAGAAGAGCAGATAAAATTGAATGAGATTGAACGAGAAATGAAATTGACATTTCCTACATGGATTTTGCAAAGGGACCTCTACTAGACCAAGGGCAAATGGCTGTAACAATGAGAGAAAAATATTAATTATTCCTTTGCTCCTGAAGAACAAAGGCTAAAGAGAAAAATGTCACAGCATTAAAAATTGACAATGATATTTAAAAAGTTCCATCAACAATTTCTTTTTGTATCTACTCTTTTCACAAATCTACATATGTCACAACTGAATGAAGTTTAAGCTCAGTGCCTCCCGTAAAACATTAAATCTCCTACTCATCATATCTTAAAATACTATGTGACACTGTAACTGTGAATTACATCTACCATTGACTCCACGAAGAAAGGCAAATCCCCTGGAAAGTGAAATGATGGGCTCATTGATTTTGTTAACAAAAAATTAAGTATTATTTTTTTAAGTCTTTGAGGAACCCTGACCTATAAAGTTTTTCAGTAAACAGCATCTAGGCAGGCTTCTCAGTCCAGTGCAAAGGCAGGTTTGCAATGTTTCTTTGCATCTGTGCACATGTGGTATATAGGCTGATCAGAATGTACAACTGGAGCCATGGCACATTGGTGCTGCATACAGAATGATGGAAACCAAACATAATTACATTCCGACATGCAATTTTAGTCAATAGTCATATAGTCCGTTAAAGTCACTGCAGTCCGATGAAATCCTTTTAATTTGTATTTTGTATTTTCAATCCTTGCACGTCCTAATTTTTTGCATCTATGCTTTGAGGCGACCACAGGAGGGAGACATTGTCCTTCTGGTTGTTATGAAATTTCAGCTTAATTAGCCTGGTATTTGATTCAATGTGAAATTAAGGCTTCTCAGTGGCTCAGTTAAAAATCTATGGTCAATGTTATTACCATGGCCATGAAATGCTTTGCATTTGTTGACACATTACAATATCTAATATTTGATTGACTGCAAATATCCACTTACAAGTGGAAATAAAACATGAACAAATCCATGCGCAACATGACCTGACATCTTTTCTAGAAAAACAGGGTCCAATTCAAAATGCTTTTTTTTTTCTTTTTATAAAATTGATATCCTTATTACATATACAGTAAGCATTCAAAATAGCAAAGGGTGGAAGTTTAGGTGACTTTATTTTTCAAACACTTGTAAAACTAACAGAGAAACATGACTAGATACAAGTTCAACAAGCTGAACACGGATGACGGTAACATTCTGAACTGCTGGTAAACACAAGGCACCATCCAAGATCAACAATCAGTTACAATGTCTAAGCTCTGAAGTGAGTGGTCAACTGTATATGTGCTGGGGGACAGTATGTTTTTCCTCTTATCATACACTATGTGCTTTTAAAATCATCACATGAAAAAAACAACAACAATACAGCTAAGTCAAAGCAAGCTTGCCAAAGTCGGTGGTCTGAAAACTAACTCTGTGACTACTCTTGACTTCAGCAGAGACACCGGCATTATAAACACTTGATTTGACTGATGAATCCTAGCAGCATTCTTTTTGTGGATTTCAATGCATACTCCAAATCTCTGGAGATTACCTCAAATGTCTCAGTATTATAGTACTGGCACACAAGAGAATCCGCTCTGTTCTATGCAACCTAGAATAGACAATCTCACTCCCTCACTCACAATCTTTCTCCCAAACACACAAGAAAGGCGCCTTTGGTGAGATGTAGAATGGTTCAGCTTCCCAAATTTCAAAAAACACAAATGCAACCTATTGCATATAAGACCACAGAAAAAAAAACAAAAACATTTAAAGCTATGGATTGTAGAGACACTAAAATTGTTTTGGTACAGCATCAGAAAATCATGTCCGATTGTTTCATACAGATTTAACACTGCTGCACTGATTACATCACTTCAACAAACACCAGTGATTTGTAAAAATTCATTAAAATAGCCCCGAAAGAGCAACATCTTTACTTTTTGCACCCCTGTGACAGATTTCTGTGTCATATGATTATAGTTCATTTTTCCTGGGGCCAGTATTATTTGCTTTACAAAGGGTAGGTTTCACAAATTTATTATAACACAGGTCATATGAATACATAAAAACAGAATTTCAACTTTGTTATCCACAATACTCAGTTAGTATTAAAAGGAGAAGAAACTCATAACAAAATGAGCAAAAACAGCTTTACACTTCATCAGAAAAGGTGACACAAAGCCAAAGTGTATTTGGTCTCAGTTATCACAACTCCATATAATCCTGGAGGGACCATCTGATGTTTTACATTTACAGTAAGAAACAAAGTGCTTGATTTAGGACAACCAGGACACTGCACGTTTGCCACAAACTCTACAGAATAAAAATGATTGCATATATTTTATCAGCATCTACTTACGATGTTTTGTGTACTGAGGTCCTTTTACTGTAACAAGAACATATTACTTTCATTATTCACTCGTATCCAAAAGAAGAAAATAAAAAAAAGAATGTGCAATTTTCTGTTCATATGTAAGCATTACAGCATACTAAATATTTATGTTCTCTAGTATAGGCAAAAGTATTCTGGCTGTAACATACAAAACAGAGAAAAGAGCTGACTAAAAAAAGCTTTGTAATGTATTGTTAGGATAAAGGTTTGCTTTGCGGAACTAGGCCTGCTCTTAGATTCAAAAATGAGATTTAATTCAAAGACGTGGCTCTGCCTGTGCTCAGGAAACTGCACAAAATATGCTATAATACATCTAAAAAAATCTGACTGTACATGATCTGCTGTTTTAGTTAAGGTTTTTTATGCAAAACTCTGCAGTATAAAAACATACAAACACTGCCAAAGATAAAATTAAACTAAAGTGGTTTTTGCTTTTGGCTAAAATAATTTTGGATATCATTATGAATGACAGTAGTGCCCAGAAGATGGGAAACTGCATCGATTGAGTTTCATAATACATGGGCTATAATTTTGAGGTAACTAAGATGATCCATTAAACAACTATGAACTCAACTGCTTCAAAATCTGCCCGTATATTATGATCCGAAACACGTTCATAAGCAAAGAAAAATATTGTTTATCTCAAGGTGTTCTGATGTGCAAAATGCGCTAATGTCTTGATCGGCCTCCTTCAAAAGCGTGGTGCTCCTCATGTGCTGAAATATAAGCAAAAGGAGAACAACTAGATATGTTACTTTTATGATGTTACATTTTATGGTGTTATTTCTAATTCAGTTTGAAGACCTTGGTATATCACTTCACATTCAAAGCAAATACTCACGTTTGTAAAACACTGCTTTAAAAGGTATCTGTGGGAGGAGCTCATAGATCCTCCCTAAGATGTTTGACTCGTTAGCACAAGAAGCATTTCCATTCCAGACCTGAAACACATCTTCCCTGTCTCTTACACTGACACTGACACCGACGACTTCATCCTCTGCAAGAACAGCAACAGAGAACAAGTTTAACTCATTTCATACTGATGCCATTTTAAATTTAAAAAAATGGGATCATCTATTTGCTAGAATTTATTTTTCCCATAACTCAATCAAGAAATTTACCTGAGGGACAATAATCACTGAACTGTTCTCCAATAGTAGCCAAGAGCAACTCCTTCCATACAACAGACTGTAAATATGAAGACAAAGTTGTTAAAGAGTCATGAAAAAAGCAAATGATTAATATATAAATAGTACATAATAAATGCTCTATATCACTTACAGTGCACTCTTTGGGTACTTTCATTTTCCAAACACCACCTTTAGCATTGCTTTCTTCTTCCCTGTTTGAAAAACCAGCAGGCAACATTACACATTTGAACTAACTTCAATTAATGTGAACATGTGCATTAATCTTCAAGTTAAACTCACCAGAGTGGTTTCCTTTCTCCTCTCATCAGATGATAGCTACATCTCAGTGGTAAACTGGAGACGCCGGGTATGTTGTTGTAAACTCGCCAAAAGTTCTACTCCGGTGCCAAGGTGAACAGAGGAAACAGGTTATATTATTGAGCCATTTACTGGCACAGGGAGTACAGACAGCTGGCCTTGTTAATATTTCACATTTCATGTGGTGTAGAAAATCACAACCAAAGGTCTTTTCCTCATTGCTCTTCACCGCACAAAAATCCCCCTCATTCATGAATCCTTACCCAACACAGTTCTGGTTTGGGGTTCATAATAGGGTATTGGAGCTCTATTAACGTCCTGCTATAATCACTATAATAGATTAAAAATAACCTGACATGCTAATTAGGCCATTAGTAATTATACATATTAACATGTTGATCAACATTGATCTAAACAAGCATACACTTAAAACAGCTTTAAATCATGTAGGGGTGCTACTAGTGTAAGTGTGTAAATCCTGCATACTGTGCTTACTTTGAAGGACAGAGACATCAGTGAAACACAAAACAGTCAGTGTCCCCATGATAAGAGTGTCACTTAAGGCTTCAGACACTATGTTAATTTGACTGTGGCCTTGGTGCATTTGGGAGAAAAAGAAACAACTCCAGCAGCTGTGTGAAGATAAACTTCTTTGCACTGACTCTTGAATTGAGTGTAAATCAGGAAATTTACTACTGAAATGTGCCATAGCTCAACTCCTAGTCTGGCAGAATGTAGAAACTCTGTCTGCTGGAGCCATGCTCGTGTTGGAAGACTGTGAGGCATCTTACCTGGACGGTCTCAACTGTGTAGATTTTCTTCAAGTTTGACTCACATTCAGCAGCTGTTGTTCCTGGTAGAGATCTGACAAAAAAAAAAAAACACATACAGACATTTAATTAAATTTCACTTCACATGTTCTAAATACATTTCTTTCAGTTCCTACATTACTCAAACATATTTCACAGAACTGCCCTCTGAGCAGAGAGGTTGGAGGGTTGGTTGGAGGGGGGTGGGGGTGGATCTGATGACAAATAAGCCAGTAAACAGTAAACAACACTGACCCCATTTGAGCAAAGCACCATCTGATTTGTAACCGAGTGTCTCTTCTGTTCAACTCTGTTGTGATTACTTAACAATAATTTTGAAACTTCTCTTATGCAAAGGTTTACACTGGGAACGTTGTGTATGATAATTGCATTTGAGCAGCATTAAGTTGAAATAACAGAAAATTGTGATTTTCAAAACCACTGACAGACACATGACCAATGACTCAACAAGTTTTTTTTTTTTTTTTTTTTTTTTTTTTTAACAATAACACCTGTGCAAAGTACAAAGGCTAAGGATGACCTCAATCTGAACTCATCTTATTATTATGAGTTATGTTTAGCCAGTTAGTCATAATTACGTCCTGTTTATTTTAAGAGCCTACTAAGTAAAGGACTTGGGTATGTAGGTCGTTGAGAAACCATGTTGGCAGCAAAACAGAATCGAGACCATAAAAAGCACTGTTTGTTGCTTTTCTGTGATTTATTATGACAGACAATCCCCGTGTCACGTTATTCACTATTAAACACTATTATCTAGGTTGCAATGACTCACTTAAACCAGGCCTGATAAATTCGTCCTTTCCTTTCTTTGTTCTTCTTTGATCAGCTACAAACAGTTCACCTATTTCACACTGATTAAAGACTAGTAACATAAAGATGGAAGGAAAAGGGTAAAAAAAAGCCTTACCTGTCAAGCCAGAAAGTCCACGGAGAATGTAAAGGCAGCGTGTCATTTTCATTGTTACTTGAAATCCTTCCCAAATCTCTGTCGCTGATGTGAATGTTGTGCTCCAGCAGACCCGGGTTGGATGATGTGCTCAGTTGTAATGCAGCTACTGGAACTGCCATTGTTAGGTTACCTCTGAAAACCGAATGACTTAGTAAAAACGAGCAGATCTCTAGTGCAGATGTTTTCACCGGGGCTGTTATCCTTATATTTATATATAGGCTGGTTAGGTAAAATTAACCCAGATCAGCTGCTGACTCATTGGTCGCCTCACCGGTTTGCGCCGTCACAACAACAGAAAAAAACGATGACGCCCTCTGACTGCCTGCGGCACCTACAGCCCAGAGCTTCCAGAAGTTCCTGTCGCTGAAGTCTGCACACACTAAAAATTTGAGCTGTGAGAATACACAATATTTCAATCCTGGCTACTTCACCCGGTGCTACGGGGCTATTCAAGCGCTTTGTTGATCTCAGGTTAAACTGGAACGCATCTTCCGCAAATGTGAATACGTAAACGTAGACATGCGCAGTTGTCACTGCCACCAGCTTTGTTGGGTTGCTATCTGCTACTGCTAACTAGCAAGCATTTCCTGCCAGTGACTGGACACCGATATGGACATCGACGTGCTGTTGGAAGCGTTTCAAGGCAATATTTACAGTTATTCAAATACGTGATTCGTTATTAGCGAGTGGGTCTTACATTTGTTTTGATGTCATCGGTAAAATCTGTAATGTTTGCTAACTACGTTACGTACGGTACTGTAACTTAGCTTACCAACATCGATTAGCGTTTAGAAGAGGCACCTAGGGACACTGGTCTAATTTTCTGCCTGGCCTAACGTTAGCTAGCTTAATGTTATTCTCTACGAGAAAGAAGTTGGTCACATTTTTCTCTTCTGGCCCATTTATTCCCTTACTGAAACTGGTGCGATTATGTAAACAGCTAACGCGGTAACGTCACAATAAGCATGCTAACTTGCCAACTTTTACGATAACTTTCCATGCAGTTAACTGAAATTGGTGTTTGACATGGTGTCTGCATGTCTTGAAAAGTCGTTAAAGTACTGAATTCAGTTCCCTCAAAAAATGCCATAGAAGATCTAAAATCAGAGTCTTAAATTTAATGTGCAAAGGTCAAATATTTGTTTTGCTTGCAGTAGAAGGTAAGATTAGTTATAACTTTAGGCTGTCGGCAGACTGTTGCAAAGATGCCCATACATGCATATTGGACAAGGGACAATTTTATCGATAACAATTTAACAAATTAGTTACTTTTTTTTTTTTAACTGGTTAACCGAACCACCGATTATCTGCGTCTAGGCATGGACGGATTATGAGAGAACCGGCCCCTTGGCATAGACAAGTAAAAGCCCCCCCAACCCTGATTGGAGCCACTGCCGCATCATTTGTTGTCGTTTTCTGTTTCTGTTAAGGCGTTTTGCATCTCTTTGCGGTCGTTTTGTGCCTCTTTGTGGATGTTCTGTTTCTCTGCAGATGTTTTCTGTCTCTGATGTAATTTCATATCTCTTTGTGGTTGTTTTGGTTCTCTATGTGGACGTCTTGTGTCTCTTTGGGACAGTTCTGCCTGTGCTACGTGCTCTTTAAAACAAGAAATATTATGGGCCTGTGCCCTGTAAACCTGTTCAGTAATCCATATATGAGTCTAGGTTAGATTAATTGATTAAATATGTTACTAGTAATTATTGTAGGAAGTATTATTTATCACAAGGAATAACCCCACTACAGCTGGAAAGTACTGACAAAACCTAAACGATTCTACGTAATAAATATTTGCGGCCTTTTTGTCCCCACTGGTCTTCTGTCATTCTTTGATAGTCATTCTGTGCTGTGCTCTATTCCAGAGAATCTTCTCTAATTTGATTAAAGGGCCTTAAAAAATCTTAAATTTAATTTGATGAACACAGAAACCTTGCTGATTGCAGTGCTGTTGGGAGAAATTTTCTTTTTTGGAGCTTCATTTAGCACTATCCGACCTGTAGCAAACACTGTCACTACAGCTAGCTTCAATCATTGGTTAATGTTTAAATCCTTTTTTGTTGCTTAACTGTGTCTAGGTCATGTGAATTAATTAGCTATATTAGTATTCATTGTTATATACATTTGGAAAGTACAGACAAAAATGAGACATAAGTGTAAAAAAAAAAAAAAAGTTTTTAGTAAATAATTGTTGGCAGAGTTGATAAATGGTACTATGATTATTTATTCAATGCAAATGTATAACTAATGTGCCAGGAGCTGCCTTAAACTAAAAAGGGTTTAACATTTTTCCAGAATTATTTTCACAATTAATCATTCTCTAATGGTTATATCCTTCTGAAAAAGTCCAACCTTTTTTTGGTTGGTTTTTGCCAATACAAATATTTTTTTGGTTCGGTTTGAACTAGTTTTGTGTGCCGTTTGGTTTATTATCAAAAAAGGAAAAAAAAAACTGATCTTCTGTTCTTTATGTGGGTATTTGCAGATTTTGAGAAGAAAGGGAAGAAAGAGACCTGTCCTGTACTAGAGCAATTCCTGTGCCATGTTGCCAAGACAGGGCAGCCACTGTGAGTAACAACTAATGAAATCTGCTTGTTGAACTTTTTGTCTCTCTACATCAGTTTTGTCAAAAACTTGTTTCAAGACTTTTCATTCTTTTGTGTGGATGACATACAGACTCGCATTTCCAATGTATTCCAGGATCCCGTGGTCCCAGTTCAAAACTTACTTCATGTTTAAGTTGGAAAAAGTCATGGATGATTTTCACGCTTCAACACCAGAACAGAGAGGACCACATAATCCCAATGTAGAGTATGTTCCCTTTGAAGAGATGAAGACGAGGATCTTAAAAATAGTGGATGGTTACAATGGGTGAGTTAGACCACTTTGCAAATTGCAAACAAATCCTTCCTCACAACTCCATATACCAACCCAAATAATGCAGCAGTTCAGTCACATTAATCCATAAATTCTTGTCCACTACTTTATTAATGTTCTTCTTGCATGTAACCAGAATAAAAGCATTGCCACAAAGAGAGATATTCAAGTGTGCATTAAAAGTAGAAAAAAAAAAATGTTAGTATACTAGGGCATTAAGCTAAAACCCAAATGAGCTAAAAGTCACATCTGTCATGTGGTGTAATTTATTCAGTTATATTTAAAAATGTATTTGTGAAAAACATTATGAACTGAGCTTCAGTGTCAATAGTCTCTTTCTGCACTCTGCTAGTTTTCCGCTGACAAGACAGAAAGCTACTCAATTTAATCTTTTGATTGCAACTTTCCCAAAATTGCATGAACAACTTTCATCCTCAAGCCTGGAAATTTCTTAATGAATTTCCACATCCAATGATTTGCATTCTAAATGGCATTATCGCAAAGCAGTCATAGATCGGTCCAGACTGATGCGTCTCTCTCTTTTTTTTTTTTTTTTTAACCTCATTCAGCTTCGGTGCTGCCAGCTTTGGCAAGTTTTCAAAGACAGTGTTGTACCTGTCTGTGTGATGGCTGTGTGGCTAATCCTAAATATATTTCTTGATAATTTTTCTAGAATCCCCTTTACCATCCAACGTCTATGTGAACTGCTTGTGGACCCCAAGCGTAACTACACAGGGACAGACAAGTTTCTCAGGGGTTTGGAGAAGGTGAGCATTACACGACACTGCTTTTTTTAAAAGTCCACACACATTAATACAACGTATTTATACTCAAGGTTAGCGATATTTATCGATACTGATTAAATGTACTTCCCATGGCTTTAAAATGAATTCCAAAATGTATATTACTGTTTTTGTATTGCAGAATGTAATGGTGGTCAGCTGCGTGTATCCCACATCAGAGTGAGTACATCCTAAATGCTGTTAAACCCTTTTCCCCTCGCTCTGATGACTATAGTATTTCTGCTTCTCATGTACATTGATAGCTCCCTTCAACTTGCTTATATAGTCACACTTACAGACAATTAACAGACAGTTGTTTTTGTCCCTTTCTACTTCTTTCAAAGGAAAAATGGGGCATCCAGTGTAAACAGAATGAATGGAGTGATGTTTCCTGGTAACTCCTCTCTATATTCAGACAGGTGGGAGCAACATACTTGTCAGTGATTGACATCCACAAATTGAAATTCCTCATACACAGGAAAGTTGAATTAATGTAGAGTAAAATAAGCGAAGGACAACCAGGGTATAGTAAGGACGGATCTGTCTTGCCCGTCAGAGAGGGTCTTAGAAGTTCTGCTGATTTGTGAGATGACTTTCATAAGAAAATGTAATATTCCTCTCTTGCAGTCGAAATGTAAATGGACCAGGCACGCCAAAACCACTCACCAGACCAAAGTTGTCATTGTCAACTTCACTTTCCACCAACGGGCTCCCTGACTGTCCAGGCAGTAAAGAGCCAGAGCCAGCTGCAGAGGAGGTTGAGGAGCACCATATCAGGTAAAGTAATTATGTACACTGTTGATATGTTGTACAACAGCAACTTGACTGTATGGTTTTGAGATTCCAGCAATATTATAACTTTTAATGTAGGCCACACTGTGCACCATGGATCTAATAATCTTGGGTACGACATCAAGGTTGATGTATGCAGACTGTAGGATGATTAACAAATGAATTGTAGGCTACGACGCAAGTCAGTATACAAGAATGAAACGTCATCAACATGCGTCATCCACCCACGCCGCTATAGTGGTAAACAATTAAACGAAGCAAGAATCGAGTCCTTGCAATAGTGATATTTTTATGTGTATGGAAAAAAATCCGAAGAGGAGGAGGAGAATGTGGACCCGGTCGTGGCTAAGGAAAAGAGGCAAACTCGGGATGCCAAAGCACAAAAACGCACATAGCCGTCAGTTCATGCTAAATTCCTGTTGGTTGTTTAGTGGACATAAGAGAAAGCAGCAGCCACATTGTGAAACGGTCGTCCTAAATTTCTGATGCTGTCAGAATTTTGTCCAAGGCTATCTTTGGTCGCAAGACAACGGCCGTCTTTGAACCTCTCTCACAGTGCAGTATAGGACCACAGTTTTAGAACCACATTTCTTTCATGTTGATCATCTTTCATCTGTGACAGCCCAAAATTGCAAAGTGAGTTTGTACCCACCTTTAGGGTGAGTTGCATATAGTTTTCTAGTGTGTAGTGTACTGAGTGAGTCTACTCAGTCATTTTTATTTAAAATGTAGGGGCACTGATGATAGCTGCCAAGCCCAGACATTTCCACCATGAGCAGATCTTCCCAGGACCCCATCCTTTAGAAAGAAAAATATATTAACTACACATTGATTTAAACGTCGATGAACACAGTTCCCTGAATTTCTGTCATTACTGCAGTGATCCCTCACTATCAGAAGGTGAATTAACACCAAACAGCGGGATAAAGAACAAACACCCCGAGGACGAGGAAGAGGAGGAGGAGGATTCTGATGCTGACAAGCAAGAGGTCAAAAGGCTCAAGTTTGATGAAAAGGAAGAGGATGAAACAGAAAGTGAAGAAAAGGAGTCTTCTTGTCATAAAGTGTCAGAGGGCTTGTCAGAGAAACTGGAGTCTTCAAAAGACTCCTGTGGTCAAGATTTCAGAAGTGGAACATCTTGTGACACACCGTCTATTTCAGAGGAACATGGTAAGTGAAATCGTGCTCACTGATGTATTTGTATGTGTTAAAGGATCAGTGTGTAGGATTTGGGGGGATGTATTGGAAAAAGTGGAATATGAAATTCATGATTATGTTTTCATTATTGTATAAATACATGAAACTAAGAAGCTTTGTGTTTTTGTTAGCTTAGAATGAGCCCTCCATATCTACACAGGGAGCCTCCTCCATGGAGCCCGCCATATTGCGCCGCCATATTTCTACAGTAGCTCAGAACAGCCAATCCAAACACTCTAAAAGGGGGACTTTCATGTTTTTTTTTACGTTACCTGAAGGCCACTGTAGCTTCTCCTTCCCGCTTGGAAAGGGAGGGATGAGAGGGAGAAGCATTCAATTTATTGCTATCTGCAACCTCACCACTAGATGTCACTAAATCCTACACACTGGTATTAAAGTGTTACAGTACCAACACGGTGGGCATTTGTAGTGTCTTTATGGGCTGATGACCACGTTGTAGTTTAGGTGCACCCTGTAAATTCAGAGGTGGCTGCACAGATACCAAACAGTCAAAATAAATCTTTCCAGCACAAATGAAATTAAAATTATTATTAAATTTAATTATTAATGTTCTGAAGTACAAAGTGAATATGAAACGAGTAAACATCACACACACACACACACACACACACACACACTTAAATGTAGCGTGAAAAGCCTGTTGGCGAAGCCTCCTGCAGGCCACATCCCGCTGTGTTCTTGATCACTCTCCAAGAATTCTGTGTCCTTTGAGTGTCTTTGTTGTCTCGACACTGTGAATTGTACAAATGGGGATAGAGGGGCTCAGTTTGGACAGTATCTGCTCGAGGGCGTTCATGATGTACAAACTGAAAGTGATGGAGGTCACTAAGTGTCATTAAGGGGTTATACCGTACCTATCGCACCTACACGTATTGGCTCCTAGGCTATGCTGTGGACGACATAGCTGACATGTGCCTCCTCAAAAAATGTAACCACATCAGATCAAAATGTCACCTACTCTGACTCTTCTAAGCTTTAATTGTTTCAGATATCGCTTTGTGTAATATTGTACTACCCCGGCAAAATATGTAGCTTTGTCAGAATTATTTCACTCATAATTCACATGCCAGTCTTAAATGTTAGCTTCGTTTCATAATAATGATGTTTCAGTTTTGAATTGATTAGATAACAGCCACAGACTGTTTGTTTCTCAGACTGTAACAGTAAAACGCTGACCACTTTGCTCCTCAGAGGCCAGTAACACGCAGACAGAAACCTCTGAAAGGGAAGGAGACTCATCTGAGACGGGGGATGTCCACATTCAGAAGAATGACGGTGTTGTGGACCAACCTGAGCTGCCTGCTCCGTCAGAGAAGAGTGCAAGCTTTGAGCAGGACAGTGGGGAGAGCAGCAGCAGCAGCAGCAGCGGCATCAGTGATGGAGAAGGCCTGCCCAGCGACAAGCAGGCACCCTCTTCTTCTAGTAGTTCACCTGACTTGTCAACAGAGGGCGATGCTGACAGTTCAAACAGCACAGAGACTGCAATAGAGCCAGGAGAACATGACTAACTTGAAGCCCAGCCTGCCAACTGACTTTTTTTTTTTACACTGTATGATACCACACCAAGGGTATATCTGTAGCACTGTGGACCTTTAGACTTCAGGACCAGGAGCGATGTGGACCCTGAGATTCCTCACAGAAGGGTCTTTTTTTTCCTCTTCAGTTTCAACTACTCACGGCTACACATCACCTGGTCTTTAAACTAGAAGGAAATTATTCAAAGAAGATTATGGAGACTCAGCTTTTTAACTGTTGACTAAAAGTTTTTCTAATCTTTTTTTTCCCTGATTTTTATATCTGAGCGATTTAATTTAACCTTGTTAACCGATCTATTCCAAAATTTCATTATTCATTCATCATTCGGCATGTATTTCCAAGAGGATATATTTGATAGTCTGAGTTGAGTTTTGGCCTAAGCATAGTTATACTGACTATCTCTCAAATGAATGTCTTTCTCCTGGTGAATGAGGAAACCTGCCATTAAGCAAAATTTCACAGATGTCTGTTTGCTTTTTCTATGAAGCACATACCATGAAATGTATTTTATTAGCATTATGTTGCATTTGTTAGCATTGACCCTTTGAAGGATGTGGAAAATATCACAGTTTTGCTTTGTCACTGTATGAAGCCAATATTTACACACAATATTGCCAGTAGTAACCACTTTGGTTAGATAGTTAATTGGTTTGGCTTAAGGGAAGCCATTTCTGCATCAAACTCTGTCAACAGAACACAAGGTACTTTTACACTTTCTGTATGTCATACCTTAGTTGTACAGCTGTCCCTTTTGATAGCTAGGATTTTTACAGTACATATCTGTAAAGCAGTTTTTGTAGACTTGTAATACGTGTCCACTGCCTTCGTAAAACTGATAATCGCTGGAAATTGAATGCTTGAGCTTGTATCATAGTATTCATGGAAAGCAATAAATGCTAAAACTTAAAGTGTAATATGCTCAATTGATGTAAAGGGAGTTGTACTTTTGAGTTGCAAATCCAGTTATGTTTCATACCTGCAGAACGATGTGCACAGTAAATTCTGGGAATTACCTTTTAGCCATGCTTGAGGTGTGACTCTACAAATGGCAACTCTGGTTGGTTGGTTGGTTGGTTGGTTGGTTGGTTGGATTGTCGGCCCAGAATTTTAGCCTAGAGTGAAATATATTTGAAATGTGGTATAGAAATAGACCAAAGTTCTAAAGCTGACTCCCAGTCCATGCTGAAAGTAATTCCCTGTCTAACACTAAGCTAATGACAGTACACCTCTAAAAATCATGACTGTATTTTTTAAAGCAGCTACAACCGATATTTTACACTAACAATGTATAAAACGACTGTGAAAATACTGAAGTGGTCGTTCGTGGTGATGAACCTCCAGAGAATTATCACATGAATCTATAGCTCCCCTTGGCTTTACAGAGCTTTGGAGCACTGGTCTGTAAATTTACTGTTTTTTGGTTCACTCTCACCCCTTGCTTAGTTTTGTTTCCAGCCACAGCATGTAGCTGTTTCCAGCAAAAAACTGCGCCTACTCTACACCAAAGAGTAGATAAACACAGTTATAGACCAGCTGGCGAACATAGTGGAGCATTTAGCAGCTGAAGAGCCAGATACTTCCCTCCGGAGTTGATAAAGACCCACAAAGACCAAAAGCTAAAAGAGAGTGAATACTGGACTTAAGTTCACCAGGTGACCAAAACATGACTACAAATGAAAGCCAATGTTTCTTCGTAACTTCTAGATGTATAAATGCGCAATTATTGGTTAACAAGTGTATCATATGAATTTAAAAGGTGATTATATGTCAGTGCTGTGTTCCCAACTTGCCCCCCACCCCCTTACCGGCCGAGAGAGCATGTTATTATAAGTTATAACATTCACGTCATCCTAAGTATTAGCGTATTAGCATTAATAGTCTTGTTTGTAACAGTGATACATAGATGACACAGGGGTGAAAGTTACCAGCCATGGGTACAAAAAAAGTGGAGGATCATTCACTGGCACTGGGTGCAGGAGAAATATGGGTGAGATTTAAAATATCTCTTGTGTAAGAGCAGATGGTGTGAATCATTTTAATCATGTGAGGATAACATCCAGTGACTGCTCAGATGGCCTTGACACTTCTAAGCTTAGAGATTATCACTCTCCCTGTTGTCAGCAGATATCATGGGCGAGGAGGGTATTGGGCCAGGCCACGCTTTCACCTGAAAACAATGGCTATGTTACCACTAACGGTGACACTGTTATTCTACTGAAAACATGTAGTTATTTCCATATGTCAACTGACTACTTCATTGCTTGATATTTTACCACCACCATAGCCTTACTAGAAAGCGTCTCCTCCCATTTATCAAATATATTTTGCCCTCTCAGTGGTTAAGGTGTAATTTAATGTCAACCATTTGTAAATTTAACAACAACACCAGTTATTATAGATTTCACTGAGACTGAAGCAGGCATGTAAACAGTAATTAGGTTAGCCATAAATAACCAGGCAACTGAAGGTCAGAGCTTCCAGAGATAACTAAACACCTGGCCTGTGTGATTCATCAGACTGGTCAGGAACTTCCTACACCAGGAAAGATTACCTAAAGGAGTACACCAGCAAGTTAGCAATCCACCTCCATAAAACATGGTGACATATAAGAGACAAATTTTAAAAGAACTGAAAAAAAAATCTAAGCAGCAGTCCCTGACATATCCTCAGTTTTAGTATATCAAGTAACAAGTAACTGTGTGGTAGCCTGACCATGTGTAGTCTGAATTAAGAAAGCCTGATGACAGTGTGCTTGACCTCATATTTTATCCCATCTGATATTATCATTTGCCATACAGACTACCTTCAGTTTACCATAGCGGGTTTTACCTTTACACTTACACATATGTAGTTTAAGTTATCCTATCCAAACACTGATTCAGTATAACATAGAGAAGCAGGGGCACAAGGAAATCCTTTCATGAAGTGTCTGTGAGCTAATTGATTTTGACAAGTGTCCATTTCTAATCCCTTATCATGTGATCCATAACAGTCCGTGTCTCATCCTCACTTTCAGATGGGATTTGTCACAATAGAGAGCCAAAAACAAGTCAGCTCGTATGGACTTAAATGCCATTTACTTTAATCATTTTGGTTTTTACCAATTTGCACAAAGTTTAGTTGCAGCACTTACTGAGGACTGAGATTTATAGATTTTGTAATGTAGAGGAACGCTTTAAAAAGAGTTAACCAAGTCATACAGTTTCATGTAATGTGAGAAATAATTTCAGTCTGTAGGGTGTCAGACAAATTATTTCCACAATGGGTCAGCGCCTGAGTGAGGACAGTGACCCAGACAAGGAAATTGATGTGGCAGAGCTGCAGGAATGGTACAAAAAATTTGTTGTGGAATGCCCAAGTGGAACTCTCTTCATGCACGAGTTCAAGAGCTTTTTCGGCGTCACTGACAACAAAGAGGCTGCAGACTACATTGAAAACATGTTTCGAGCCTTTGACAAGAATGGCGTAAGTACAGACTTCTGTTTTGTGGTAATACAAGACGTGTGCATAGTCATTTGTCTCGTTTTAGCATTGACACTACACTTACCAGAGTAACAAAAGATTTGTGACAGCTGCAACTAATGCCAGTTATTGAGCACATATTCTTTTAGAGCTCAAACAATTAGTTGCTCACCCAATTACCCAATAGGCAGAAAATTAATGCTTTTTAAAATTAAGTACCAATTTTGATAGTTGATTAATTGCGGTCGTGCCATAAATGTGCAGGCTTCTGAAACATAAACATTTTCTGGTTTTCTTAGTCTTCTATGAAAATAATCTGAATCTGATATATTGATATCAGACAAAACAAGCAATGCGAAAATGTAAACTTGGGCACTGAGAAATTATATATTTACAATAATTATATAACATATTTTTGACAGGTAATAGACCAAGCAATTAACTGATTAACCATGAACATTGTTGGACAATTAATTAACAATGACAATGACTATTAGTTGCAGTCCCACATATTTTTTATTGGTGTTTCTAATAAGACGATTTTTAAAAAATATTCTATCTAGTATTTTATAATACAGACATTTTGCCTGTCAAAATAAATATATATTTTTTATCCTAAATCAAGTCAAAGTGTCCCTTCATAACATTTTAACTCTTTCCCCTTACGTACACAGGACAACACCATTGATTTTCTGGAGTACGTGGCGGCCTTGAACTTAGTCCTGAGGGGTAAACTGGAACATAAGCTTAAATGGACATTCAAAATGTATGATAAAGATGGAAGTGGATGCATTGATAAAACAGAGCTTCTTGAAATTGTGGAGGTAATATTAACTATTTTACATTAACTAAATGTAGCACACTATTGATCTTTAAAGGATATTTCAAGATAAATCAGTAGGCTCTGGTGAGCTGTCATCAATGCAAGGTTCATTGAAATATCCTTTCCTGTCAATCTCAGTCTATTTATCGACTGAAGAAAGCCTGCCATGGAGAGCTGGATGAGGAATGCAATCTGCTGACCCCAGATCAAGTGGTTGACCGGATATTTGAGCTGGTTGATGAAAATGGAGATGGTGAGTGTTTGTAATAGTTTTCTGACAGCTTAAAAAGCTTCGTGGATGATTTAAAAGGGCAGTGTCAGGCTGCTGTAATGGTTTTGTGGGGGTGTTAATGTAAAAGTGTGCATGAGCTCATTTTTGTTTGTGCATATCGAAGAGGAATGTGGGCATCAGCTGTACAATGGTCCTCCTCCTATCAAAATTGTGAATTCAGGAACAAAGAAATGTATAGCAAAATAAGCCCAGAGAATAACTGTCCCTTATCATGTAGGGGAGCTCTCGCTGGATGAGTTCATTGACGGAGCACGGAGGGACAAATGGGTGATGAAGATGCTGCAGATGGACGTCAACCCTGGGGACTGGATCAATGAGCGAAGGCGCAGTGCTGACTTCTAAGGCTGTAACATGAACTGTCAGTCTGTCACCCGCACACATCCCTCACACATGTGATTATGCAATTATTTTGTGATTTTTTTTTTTACCAATTACAGTTTATTTGTATGTAAAAGAAAACGACACAGCAGTCATCCTGGCATTGTACTATATGTTGTCATTTAAGATTTAGATGCATCTCCACAGCAATGCTATATTTCGCTTGTAATGGAGTTTGTTCTGTTCATTCATTTTGGTTCAGGTTTCACATCAAGTTATGTAGCAACTGAGCAACAGTTTATTTATCACTGGTGTTGTAGGTATGTGTCTGCATTTCATAGATGCTGCAGTCATAAGGCACAGACTATATTCTCTTTATTGTTTTGTGTATTAAATGAGCATAAAAGTTATGTAATAAACATACACACTCATGGTCCTCCCTTGTGTTTTCACATTAGTAGGATGATTGGACCTCTTCTTGGGACTTTGTGTGCATGGTCAGACTGAGATTTATTTCTGTTTTGTTGCACTAGTCAAGGTCGGACAGTCTATATCTTTATATATTATTGGTGTGCTCAATTTAATGACCTAATCTTCATTTCCATCATAGCTCAGTCTTACTTTAACCTGAATAGAAATCTAATAAACCAGAAAAAATAGAAAACACCTGAAAGTTTGCAGAGTCTCACCCCTAAACGAATAAATAAATACCAATTTCACACTGCTTGGTTTGTTTTTTCAGACATTACATTATTTTTGAAAATTAAATCTTAACAACAAATATCAAGATTAGGTGCTGTAGTTTCATTTTTTTGTAAACATTCTTATGCAAATGTTTTGTACAAATATGTAGTCAAATTATGGATTTTGGTGTTAATATACTGTATACTGTGCGTAATTTACAGAATATCACCCTTAAAACTTTCAGCATTTTCAATTTTTTTATTTTTTTTATTGTATTGAATAACAGTAACAGCAAACAAATGGGTTGAGACAGAATTAATACAATGACCTCACAGTATCACAATGTAGAGTATTACATAAGAATACAAAACAAATGACATAAATCTAGCATTTTACTAGCATTCTTGTTTTTAGAGTACCATTTGGATGTACTGCTTGCAATCTATTTCAAACACTAAGAAAGATGGTCTCTTTTCTCCTATGTACAAACTTAAGAATAAGAATAAATAATATATTATCAAACTTCTTTTGACTTAAAAATTCTCCTATATTTAGGAAAGTTCCAGAGGTGTCTTAAGAATAAATGTGACATTGATTTTATTTGCAATCAACGCTAAAGCAGCTTTTTCTCGCGAGAGTATACACAAATACCGTGGCTGCTCCTTTTCCTGCTCCTGCAAATTGATTAGCTTACCGCGCTACCAAAGAGAAATAGCATCCTAGTCCCCTTATTCAGCTTTAACACGGCCAGCTGCTGTCAGCTACTTGTAAGGTATATGAGCCCTTTTACTGTCGCATAATGAGTTAGTTAACCCATCTTCTAGCAGAAGTTGAATGCCGATAATCCTGCGTTGTGTTTATGTGGGTCGACGACCGTACACAAACCGACTCACAACTCACTGCACAAGTCCTCGACTCTCCGTAGTCAATGTCGTCTGAACTTGAGAAACCACTCAGCCCTGACAAAATTAAGGTAAAGCTTACACTCAAAAAGAAAAGTTTATTTCTAGTTTGGTTGTTTATTTCCTGATGCCATCATGTTTCATCACACGGTGTAACGCTGCCCCCTCCTGGCCAGTCTGCAGAGGACAGCTGGAGACTCGACTATGTCACTGGGAACCTGTTCGCCTGCCCTAAGGACGAGGCTCTGGCCCATTGCATCAGTGAGGACTGCCGCATGGGGGCAGGCATAGCAGTGACGTTCAAGCAGAGGTTCAGAGGGGTAGCGGAGTTAAAGGAACAGAGTGAGTCAGCCCTCTCATTAAAAATTCATCAGGAGTAAAAATGTCTTGTTTTAGGGGCACTGATTCCCAGGCGATCATTTTGTTCAGCACAGAAAAACTGGCTTGGTTTTCACATGAAATAACATAAATACTTAGCTTTACAGTTGGAAAGATCACATTCAGTACTGTACAAAGATAGGTACTTTAGATATTTAGGTGTTTAGGTGTCTTATCTATCATGCAGTGCCATCAGGGAGGTGCCTGATTGGTCCCAAATTCATATTGTACATATTCTGTATGAATATGTGCATAAAGTATATTTATGTGTTCTGTATATCCTGTATCTCATCACATGTGTCATTATTCATTTTTCAGCCATTTATGTTGGCCGTTCTGTTTCTGTCTCTTGTCATACTCCATCTGCCCACCAGATGTCCTTGGACTTTCCTCCTGTTCCCAGATCCACCTGCTCACCTGTTTCCCATTCCTAATCACTGGAACTTCCCCGCCTACCTACACACCTGTTCCTTATTTTCCTCATTTGCTCCCCTGTATTTATACCTGCCCTCTTCCATCAGTCAGCTGCCAGATTGTTTCACTTCTTTTGGTGTGTCTGTCATTGTGCTCTCATTCTTGTTACCTTGCCTGGTGTTTTGCTGCCTCTTGTCTGCTCCCTGCCCACCAGCTTTCTTGTCCACCTTTCTACCTATAAGCCTGGTCTTCATAATTTTTCTATTAACTCCACTATATCAGCTCGTCTGTGTGTCTACTCTTGGGTCCTGCCTGCCTTTGTGCCTACTACCAGCTGTGACAACATGAAAATATTCTTGATGTCTTATGCTTCATTTTGTAAATGTTCATCTAACATTCATTCTGACAAATTGTCACTAGAGCTTAAAATAAACATCTGTGGGTTTTTTGCTGCACAGTATTAGTTTGTAATGGCTTGTTCAGCAGCAGGGCGGTGAGGTTGAATGGGATTTTAAAACCCATTATGCTACAGGTTCGTATTGTGTGTTGTTCTGATGTAGATATTATTCTTTTTCACATCCAAACAGACAAGCTGACAGGACAATGTGCTGTGCTGAGAAGAGACAGACGTTTCATCTACTATCTGGTAAAGATATAACAGTTAATTAAAACTTTTGAGGATACAGATGTAGAGCCTTAGGTAAAATTAAGATAACTTATTTAAAAGAGATTGCAGTAAATATTGCTGCTTTCCTGTTGTTTTATTGCAGATCACAAAGAAAAAGGCGAGCCAAAAACCCACCTATGAGAGCCTGAGACTGAGCCTGGAGGACATGAAGTTTCACTGTGAAAAGAACGGAGTAACAAAAATATCAATGCCTCGGTTGGTATCATTTCCGGTCATTAAGTTGTACTTTATCGAGAGAGAAATATTCACTTCCTTAATTAAATTATTTGTAATGTGACTAAGTTGTGTTTGTTCTGTTACTGTTGCAATTAAACAGTGTTTTATCTCTCACCAACAGTATTGGCTGTGGCCTGGATCGACTGGAGTGGGCAAGAGTGTCGGAGATACTGGAACAGGTCTTCAAACACACAAACATCTCCATCACAGTCTACAGCCTTCCAGTGAAAGCAGAGACCACAGTGATGAAGGAAAACATGCGCAGATGATTACTGGAAATGATTATTTATTGTAATATTTAGTTTATGTACTTTTCTGTATTATTTGCACAGTTTGTGGCCCTGATGATTTTTTTTTTTTTTTCAGCAAGAAAATGTTATCTTACAGATTATCTGGAAATAAATATTCTTCTTTGTACAGCAAAGTCAGCTGAACCCTCATGAACTTCTGCAAGTAGATCACACGCAGGACATAATTCTATCGGCTATCTATTTTACTTATTCATTTTTTTAAGGTAGTATTTTCCGATTTTTGAAAAAGATGAGAACAGCCTCCAAAACATGCTCATCTACATTTATCTGTTATTATTGATATTTCTTGAATTTGTTCACCTGTCCCGTCTGGTTTAACATCATGAATGGTACTTTCCACCTGGACAATGAGCCTAAAATATCAGGTATCTCTTTATTTGCCCATTCACCCACCAGGCAGTTATGTTGTTGATTGAGCAAACAGTGTATTTGCATTTCTCTCTGGGCATCATATAACTTCTGTAGTGTTCATTAAAGCCTCTGCAGATGGTTTTAGGTATCATATGGTCCACTATTGATCTAATTGGGTATTGTGCTTTAATGCAGCTGGGACACAGGATGGCTGTACCAGATGTGAGTTAAAGACAGGGGCGGGGAGTCTGACACCTCAAAGTCAATCTCGACATCCATTTTCTACAGGATCAGAAAGCCTTTTAACACATCATGAAACTGAAGTGAAAAGCAGCAAGCTAATACTACACAATATCCGTTCAAGGTGTTTTATTAAATAAGAAGGGTAAAAATCTTACTAAAGGGGCATCCATTTAACTATTTGGCAGCATGTACTTCAAGTGCAAGTAATTAACATAAACCTCAGTGGCAATGAGACTGTCTGAACTGGCTTACTGGTTTGCTGCCTGTGACCCTTCCGCTCTCCTTTGGGCCACTTTCAATAATTCATGGAGAAAAGGCATTAACCGCTGTGGCTGCCTGCAGCTCCCCCCCCCCCCCCCCTCACCCCCCCCCACCCTCCCTCGCCCCGCCCCCGCTCCCCCCCCCCGTCCCCCCCCCCCCATATATCCAGGCTGGCTGGAAGACTGTACTTTGGCATCACTGCTACCAACCCCCGCTCAGCTTTTCCCATTCCTCATCCTCCTGCCTTCCCATCCCCCTTCATGCCTGGCAATTAGACTCCACACTGCAGTAGAGCCACCTAGCTGCGCTGCAGCGAGTGGAGGGAAATAATCTTCCTTCATCTCACCCGTTGTCACACCTCAACATGCTGCAGCTGGAGGACTGTGCATTCAGATATGCCCTCTCTCCACCTAATAGCCCCAGTCTCTTTGTTCCCCATGCAGCTTCAGCTTGTCCCACTGCGGTCCACTGATTCGCCTCCAATGCTCCCCCCCTCCATTCCCATTCTCACTCCTTTTCTCTCCCACATACCCCGCAGCACCCCTCCCTCTCCGGCTCTCACCCTCCCCCCCCTTCCTCTGTCCTCCTCATTCCGCTTTTTTTTTTTCTTTGCTCAGGATGTGTGTATGAAATTGCAGAGCTCAGCATTCTTCTCCACAGGCACTTAGGGAAAAAAAGGGAAAAAAAAAGAAGAGAGATGAGCTGGGCGGGAGGGTTTCTGGTGCACCACATAACTGGCCCCCTTCCAATTAAAGAAGAGAGCTTATGTTATTGAAGAGCAGCTTAGCCAATCAGGAGACAGTGCAGGCAAAGACAGGAGGAAAAAAAAAAAGCAGCAGAGCGAGTGGGCAAGAGGAAGAGAAAAAAAAACTGCAGTGTGTGAGTGTGTGTAGTTTTTATCCCTCCCCTGAGCAGATCTTTATCAATTTGGGTACTCCAGTCTTGGGGTGCATTTGAATGGGTGTCTGTTTGTGTATATGTGGCAGAGTTTACAGGAGGACAGAGTAAAGGTGTGTCTAGAGGGCTGTGTTAACACTCCTGACTTATTCATTCTGAAACTGGAAATAAGAGAAAGTAAGAGGAGATTGATTATTTTTCTCTCTATCTCAAAGTGTCTCTGAGCCTGTGGAGAAGGGGAAGAGCTCGGCGTCCAGGAGAGAGCAACCTGCATAAGGGGTAAGCGGCTATGTTCTCCTCCTACTACAGGCATGCTGGCTTTTTACACTTCTGAAGTTGTTTTTTTGTTTATTTTTGTTAGAATGTGTTCAGCCACAGTATCTGCTCTCTGTCAGTCTTTCATGTGTAATTACATTTATGGATATCTACTTTAATGGTTTCTTAAATGATAAGGACTTGACAGAAAAGCAGAGGGAGAGGCAGGCGCAAAGAGAGAAGGAGGGGGAAGGTTAGTGCGGGACTCCCTGATGCTTCTAGGCAAGTTTCTGTGCACACGGTTCTCTAGTGCTGCAGTATCCCATTACATCCCTGAGTGGAGCTGCCTCAGCATGCAGCCAGTGCCAGGCAGAGCGACTCAAACCAGCTACTAGCTTTATAAAATAACTGTCACCATTTCAGCTTATTTATTATCCTTGGTTGGGATAAGAGTAAAGTTTTGTCCTTAATTCTCTAAATTCAAGGTAATCTGATGAACTCAGAGACGGCTGCAGCTCATTCTAGTTTTGCCGTGCATGTTCTCATTGTGTATTCTGAGTATCAGTGGGGTTGCTTAGATAACAGACTGAACTGGCTTCGTTTGAGCCTGGTGAAGAGTTTTTGTTTTGTTTATCTGTTCTGGGACTTACTTCAGTTTGAGCCTGCCGCAAAAGTAGGCTCTCTGATTGGGTGAACTGGGCGTACTGGTTAGTACTGGTCACTTACTGACAGTGTACCAAAGAAACAGAAAAGTAGTGTTCTCATGTCTGGGGTATTTATACACTGAAGATACGGTTCATCATGATTTTAAAATGAGCTCAAACAACAAAGTAAAGTGACGCTTTGTTTGTTTAAAGGAAAAGGCAGTTGATTCATACTAACATTTTTCCACTATGCATTCATTATCAGCTTTCTTTAGGGACATTCACAGTTTATTTATTACATCCCACTGTCTTTTTTGGAAGTCTGACCTTCATCATTTGTGAATGAAGATTTCATACTGTCCAGCAGTGGGCACTGTGTGTTTTCTCTGATGAAAACGTGTGTGAACACTGGCCTGCTGCAGAATGGGAGGAAATAACGGATGGACTTAGTGTGTTTTGTGTGGGCACGCTGATAAGCGAAGCTAGACAGGATGAAGAGTACAGTATGTACTGGTGTTGTCATATTACTTGGAAGTAACAGTAACACCTTTCACCCTCATATACTAGATATAAGCACAAGACATGCATGAACCTGGCCAGAATTGTTGAAACCAGTGACTGGTTTTAAATAATGTGTTAATTATTCAAGACTGAGTTTTATACAGGGATTAGGAGAGGAGAGGCCAGGGAAGGAAATGTAACCCATTTCAGCACCATGGACAGAGCACTAAGCGAAGACTGTTGATAAGTGCTTCCCTCAAATAGCTTCAAGCAAATCAGTGTTAAATAATGAGGGTTAGAGGGCAGTTTAAGGCAAAAGTAATTCTAACTATGTCTAGTCAGCTGACCTCATAAACTACCCGCCTGTACATATTTCCAAGTCCTTATTTGATATTGCAGTTAGGCTGTGCACATCTGTTCTCCAGTTGAAAACATGAAGAAAACACTTCATTATTCATGCACCTCTCCCTGTCTCAAACACTGTCCATCTTAAAGAGAACTATGTTTTTTGCAGAGACACTGAAAGCTCAGCCCCTAGCTGTGTCATGTTAAAAAGCTCTCTGTGTCCTCATCTACCTACCTGTATTATGACTGCATTTTCCAGGTCGGGGTTCTGCTTTTCTTTTAACTTCAAAGCTCAGAATAACACATCACTGTGTAATGTCACTGACTGTAGCAGCAAAATCACTCAGGTTTGACATCTGCTTATTACACTGAAGTATTTGATAACATTATTAAAAGAGGAGAAATTATACTTTATGTATGCTAGTAATGGCGAGTAACTAATTATGTTTCCCATAAATCAATTACTGAACCATTGAGGAGGTGTTAAAAGACAGACATGTTATGTTCAAAAGAACATGTAAAACATTTAATGACTTGCAGCCCATACATTTCTGACACCTACTGTGACACAAAGCTTTGTTTCATGTCATGGTTGAGAGCGACCAGGAAAGTGTCTCTGCAGGATGCAGCCAGCATACTGAGAAACTCATTCACATAGTGATGATCAGAAACCTCAGCTATTTAATGGGGAACAGAAATGGGACTCCCTGCTGTTGCCAAGAATTAGCCAGTATCACTCTTTAAGATTGAAAGAGAGTGCAAGGGATGGAGGTGGTTTAACCACTTCTCATTAGATAGAATGGCTGGCCATTCTATCTAATGAGAACCAGCCATTCTATCTAATGAGAAGTGGTTAAACCACCTCCATCTCTTGCACACTGTTTCTGTCTTAAAGTGCCTGTATCCTGTGATTTAATAAAACCTAAGCCTATTCAGTGATTTAGCAGCTACTTCATTACAACATAAACAATTCTGACCATCTGCAAGAATTTACTGCTAAATGCTGGGAAAGCAAGTTCCCTGTCAAGGTTTTTATTTTTATTATTATTATTGTGATGTCTGTTCCGATGTACATATAGGTCCTATACTGTAACTCTTTCCAAGAGTCGTGGGGTTTTTGGAGGAAGTGAGCAGCTGTTGGGCTTGTCATTGCTCATCCTCCATATACAACACCCTCTGTCCCAGGCTGTGCGACATGAGTGTTAAGTGTCCCCTGTAAATGATGGTGTAGGAAACATAGCGGAGCAGCAACGGCTGTCACTGTGACATAGTACAGTTAGCAACAATCCCAAAACTCTCCATGTCGGGACGAGGACAGGTGCTGAAAAACTCACCCACAGGCAGAAATAGTGTTGCTGTGTTGTTTATGTTGTACAGATGAAAATAGAGGACACTGCAGATGTTTAAAGTGAGCAGACCCTCTTTGGGATACTAAAATGACACCTTGATAAATACACTTAAGTGTCAGAAGAACAGTGTGCGTGTGTGTGCCTTCTCCATAACCAGGAAGAAGGAGGGCACTTCTTCATATTCCCCAGGAAAAGGTTACAGGATGTATTTATGTATGTATTTGTGTAAATGTTTTTTCTGTGCATGTCAGTGACAGAGGGTAGAAGTGTAGTTTAAATGAAGACTATAAGAGACAGCCTTTGACACATGCATTACAGTCAGCTTTAAGAGTATGGAGAAAAAATGGCATGAAAAGGACAAAAGCAATGAGGAGAAAGTGAAGAGAGGAAGGCAAGACAAATGATACAAGTATGGGCAAGAGAGGGTGAGAGATAGAGCGAGAGATTGAGAGATTGTCAGAGCAAGAATGGAAGAGAGTGGGTGTGCATAGCTGAGCTACGAGCACTGCAGTACATTGCAGTGCCCAGCCCCCGCTGTGTTCTCTGCTCACCATCCGGTTCCATGCACTGAAAAGACCCCTGCAGCAGCAGAGCTGCACAGCACAGAGGGCTGCCTGCTGATGAACAGCAACCTTACAAATGGCTTTTGACCCGCCGACGTGAATTCTGGACATCTGATGATGCACAGATTTTTAAGTAGTGATGGCAACACGGCGCTCATGACAAAAACAGCCGACCTGCGCCTGCCAGCACATTGTCATGTAGAGAGAGGGAGTAGTCAGTTCACACTCCCCCTGGATTATGTAAGCACATAACACATTCACTTTACCCAATACCAGCTGAGTGATCCCACCTTCCCCAGCTATGTTTTCCTCATTAGGAACATCTGCCGCGCTGTTTGCTTTTGTTCCAGAGGTAGTATCTCTGCAAACATGGACATATACTTTATTGAACTTATTGAAATGGCAACAATAGGGAGGCAAACAGCATGTACTCTTAAATAGCTTGTGTTTGTGTGCCCTTGGTTTGACATTTTGTTGATGATAATGTGTGTGGCGAATGAGAAATAATGATCCCATGAATAACCGCTAAGACCTCCGTCTGATGTCGGCTCACATGAAAGACAAAAACCACAATTTATTCAGTTTAAAGTCAGGCAGTGTACAGTGTGCATGAATGATTCACGCAGGGTAGCCTCACACTTAAGTTGTGTTGGATTAATTATACAGCTTTTGGCCGTGGCAAGCAATGCTCTCTCTGTGTCACACACAAACACACACACGCAAGCAAGCACACAAACACATGCATGCAGATGTGAAATGAATCTTAATCATGTGAAAGCTCTAGGAAACGAAGGAGAAGCTTGTTTCTGCTTCCATAAACAGTTGCTACGTTTCCGTCCCACTGCCTGCCTGGGGGGGTGGTGGGTGGGTGGGGGGTGGACGGCTGAAGCGTGAGAGCTTCCCTCGTTGTGTGTTCTCTGGTTTCCCTCCACTTTGCTGATGTAGCTGATTCAGATTGCGTAGCGTGGACTCTCTTTGCTTCCTGTGACAAGGTCTGATTGTGTCTCTCGCCGTGTTCAGAAGGCGTTGAGTCAATTACACCTCGCCAGACAGGTGTTTGAGCTGCAAAGTGTGTTTGCCTCGGCACATCAGACTGTGTTTGCCTCTGATTTGCAATGAAATCAGCACCAGGTTTTGAAAATTATACAGCAAAAATATGTGCAGAAAGTGAGTCACGCTGCAACTAAAGATAGTAATCCAACTGATAATCATTGTAAGTGTATTCATTCATATCAATCATATCAGATGTTGTGAATTAAAAGGTTTCTGAAAAAAAGTAGCATTTTTTCTGTAGGACATCAGGTGCATCAAAACAGTGATCCATAAATAATAGATAAATAACAGATTTAATATTTTATTAAGCTGCATTTCACATGTGTAGTGATTTTCTTTTACCTTCAATAAACACGTTTGAACATTTAACCTTGCAAAATCTCTTAAAAAAAAGAAAAAGCATAGCTACAGTCACATCTCCTTGCAACAGCACACTACTGACAAGGCAGTGCTCGGAGGAAAATGCTGTCTCTGGTTGTGGGCAGCTCAGATTGTATATGAAAGGAAAAAAAGAGAGACCCGGTGGTTTGTGTGTGTGACAGAGACAGAGAGAGTGGGAGAAAGCGACA